ATGAGCCAGTTAAATCTCTTTTCTTTGTAAATGACTCAGTCTTAGGTATTCCTTTTTAGCAATGTGAGAACAGATTAATATACCTTACATGATTTCTGCTCTCTATCCTTTTCAGCACAGCTCCCTCCCTTGGGCTTCCAGAGTAGTCTATGCATATATCTAGCAATTGTAATTTTTTCAATGTATTTTAACTGTTTATATATCTTTCTCTCTCATAAGATGATCAGGAATAATTTTAAATCTATCTTTCCATGTCTACCTCTCACTCCTATGCTTGGCATATAACAGATATTCAGTAAACATTTCTTGGAGCAGATTTAAAGGAGGTAATAGTTGAAACTTGGAGAGAGTGAAATCTCCAAGAGAAATATAAATTTATTGTGATTTTCATGTAGACTTTTATTTAAGAAGCCAGGCTAAACTCACAGGGAAAAGTTAAAGTTGATTTATATTTGGTTTCTTAACAAGTATTTCTGATTATATTCATTTTATTTGTTTTTCCCTCTGAATTTACAAGTAGCACAACTTCACCTGAAATGGAATTATTATTTGCTCATTTTAATTTAAATACCCTTAAACATTAAGTTGAATCACAAAAAAATCCTCTTTTATGGGTCAAACGTAGATATTGGCAATTTTTATGGTTCAACCCACAGTATAAGGATTCAGAACTAAGTAGCTTCTTTGCATCAGTTTACTGTATTTTTACGTAGCTCACATAGTCTGTTTCTTGGTATGAGTAACTTTTATAGTTGATATAGATCGTCTCAATTCAGGTGCTGCCTCAGGTGGTAATGAAGCTTCAAATGAGGGTACTATTTAAGCTAAAGTTGGAAAGTCATGCGTCAGAAAAACCTCAGAATGGACTTTTGTATTCTGTAGAAAAATGAACTCTATTACTACCTCCATGTTCACTCCCAACTTCCAATTACATGGCTCTAAGAGAGTTAAAATAATGTAACATTATTAAAATGTTAATTTGTTCCTTTATGCCTATCCCACAATTGAATTTTCAAGTAGTTGATTACATTTCTCTCTGTGGATTCAGGAAACCGTTAGTCTCACATTATCTAATTTACTAAACATATTTTGGCCCTTACAACTTTTCCATTAGTCATTCCTAAACACATTTAGCACAAATGAATAAGACGATGTTTGATGTTAATGAGCATTGCTTCCTGGAGGAAGTACCAGGACTGCAGATACAGCGGGAAACCAAATGTTAGGATTCCAAAACCTTGGAATTCTGAACCTCTAGTCCTCAGCTTGGGCAGATTAGATCGTATCAGAAAAGGTAACCTACTATTAATATAAATGTTGGTGTTTAAATGAATTTCAGTGTTATGAATGTGTTAAGATGAATTTCAGTGTTATAAATATTGGCATTAAGATGAGTTTCAGTTATTCGAATTTTGGTGTTAATATTTTACTTATAGATGATTCCTTAATTCCTTCTAACTTTTAAACTTAAAACAATCTTTGAAACTAAATGAGCTGAAAATACCTTTTAAAAATAAGAAACACATTTAGATTCTGGTGCACAGCAAATTCCCTGTGAATAAAAGTTCCAAATTTGTGATTCTATTTGCATTTCCATAAACACAGTCTTTGTGCTTATTATGTGACAAATAACAGTGGTAGAAATGGGGTGTTTTAAGACTCTAATTATGCATGTGCTCCCATTCTCATTGGTGCATATATTGCAATGTAAAGCTATACAAAACTTGTACTTTGGGTTCAAGAGCTTTCTTTTTAAGCTGATATTTTAATGAATTTTAATTAACATTGACCTCATTTAAAGGAATTAAAATATTAAGAAATCTAAAAGGTGCTAAGGTGCCACTGCTCCTTGGGAAGCAGATTCTGAAATGCAGATGAGCATGCAAAATATGTATTAAGAAGTGCCATGGAGGTCAACACCTGGAAAGGGAGGGAAGGAGCCAGGAGTGGGAAAAGAAAGATGAGCTGTGATGCAGGCCCAGCAAAGGTCTCAGGCAACATCTCAGTGAGCTCTCTGGCTGACCTCAGTCTTTTCAATTGGCCAAATCAGGCACAGGGGATCCTCTAGACTTCACATTGATCAGAAAGACTAGATTGTAGACCCCTGAGTTCTCATACTCACATGAGAGTTCCAGGTCCCAAGCATGGTAAGGAAGGAGCAGAGAGTTCCAGAACTGAAAAGACTATGTGGTCTAGAACACAGATGAATTATGGGTAGTTGATATGGACAAGGTCCTTCACAGCTGAAGAAGAATCCTGGTAGCCCATCACATGACCAACACACCTGTGTTTGAGGCTGAGTGTGGTTATGTTCCTATCTCTCTTGCTAAATAAACATAAATTTAAATTAATTAAAATTTAATAAAATCAAAACTTGAGTTTCTAAGTTACACTACGACATTTCAAGTGCTTTGTAGCCACATGTAGCTGGTAGCTATTGTGTCAGATAGCACAGAGCATTTCCAACAGCAATATTGAAATATTAGGAAATATTGAAAAACAGAATTGCAAAACATTTTGCTGGACAGCACGAGTATTACACAGCCACATCTTTTGGGGGTTGTGCTGCCTCCCTGGGATACGTCCAGGAAGAGGCCCCTTCCCCTCTATTCCCTCTCTCCTTCTCTAAATCTAAGGACAGTCTCTTTTTAGTCTCCATAAACCATTTAGAAATATCTTCTTAATTTTATTTTGTAAATTTATACTTGGCATGAATCTGATTTGGTGAACTGTAACTGGGATTAATAGCAACTGAAAAGTGTTTTCATTTCCTTAAGGGAAGGCCAGGATGTGAGGAAGTATTTAGATTCATCCCACTCATTCAGTTAAAGAAAAAGAAAACCAGTTGGACATTCTATTTAAACCATGTGGACATTCATTCCCTGCCACAATAACATCCACAAACACAACATTGGTCAGCAAAAATTAATCAAAAACAATAAAATTATGACATTAAATCTATTTTAAAACATAGCAAATACAACATTTTAGACTTAGCCTACTCCAAAATAAACCGTGTTTGATAATACCAACCTGCTTCATTGGGCAAACCTTTCCATGCATGAGTCACCTTCTTTAATTATTAACTAAACATCGTTTTGGTAGCTTTAGTTGCCAATTCTTCTGTAGCAATCTTCTATGAGGTTTTGTAATGCCGACTGCATCTCTTTTGAAACGTTTCTGGACAAACCCTTCCAGCCTTGGAATTTAATGTCTTTAGTAGCATTCATTGTTTTTTTTTCTTCTGGAGCTTCAGCAAAAGTCTTACCATCACATCGACCACTTGTGATGTTTGGGTTATTATTTTGCTCCAGTCTAGTGTTCAGAGCATATCTTGAAAGGGTGGAGCTGAAGAGCTTTCCACATCACCCATAGGCCCTCCCATAAGACCCATGGGAAGAGGAAGATATGCTTCTTATATTCATGGTCTCCAGTGAAAGGGAACTGCACTACATCACACATACATACACACGTTGCATTTTTACAACAAAATTAAAAATTATACAACTGCGCCATGTAAAAAACTGGTCTTGCACCACTCTATGATGTTGACACAGGATAAGGACCGCCATCTAGGAGTGGACATCATCAGAGTCCTCGCCTCGCTGAGTTTGATGCTGCAGTCTCTCAGACTAGGATTCATTTCTTCATTGGTTTAGTCATTTATTTATTGAAGTATACACATGATAAACAATGGGCTAGGCTTTGGGGGTTTATTGGAGCATATAACCAGGAATCTCAAGTAAAAAACAAATTACTCCATGTATTAATATGATGAAATGCCCAACACTTCAGTCTAGTAAAGCTTGGATAGGAGAGTGTGGCTTATTGTTGAGGCTAAAGTAGGGCTCCCAATGCCCTTCCCAAGTATACACTGTAAGTGAAGATACGTGCCTGAGCCAGTAGATGGGAGGCAGATGATGACAGAGCCTCCAAATCCAAGCTTAGTCTTTAATCAGTTGCATGAACCTGGATCACAGCTGCACAGCATACCAAGTCTCCGGCAGAACAGAGAAAAGGCAGATAGCCCTCACCCTTGAAATCAATGACCTTGCCCATCAGAGAGATGTTGCCAGTGAATGAGTCATTCCCCCGCCAAAGAGAAGGACCTGGTGACGGTAGAGAGGGGAATGGACTCCCACTGCAGGTCACTCTACTCCTTGAAAACAAAGAGCAGACCCCATAGTGGTCACTGGACCCAGGCAGCAGAAGAAGAGTTTTTAAACTTCTCTCTTCCTACTAGCAATTCCTGCCTCGTAGGAATATTGAGGGTGGGAGATTAAGTAAAATACAGTGTTGGTATTGATAGCAGGTAGTTGGGGTCGGACAAGTAGCAGCAGGTTCTCTTTTCCTTCCCCTCTCTGATATCTTAGGAGTTTCTTGAGAAAAGGTGCTGGATCTGAGTAATTTTTGCAGTATGTTTGTTGAATGGAATTGTTTTCTTTACTGAGACTTCAACATGCTTAGCAGAGAGCTTATTTAGTTTAAAAATACAGTAGAATTATAGGATTTTTTAGACCAAAAGGGACCTTTGAGATTATAAACTGATGTCCTCATTTTACAGAGGAAGAAACCGGGGCCCAGTGAGCTGGGAGAAGGAGGATTCAAGCTCCCAACTCAGAGTGCTTTCCACTTTTCACTAGGAGAACCTCAAAGGTGGTGTTTCTGTCACATCTGTATCCCGAACACCCCCAAAAAAGTGTCTGGCATGTTGTTGTCTCTTAGATAATATTTGTTAAATACATTAATTCACCATATTTCCTGCTTGTCCTTTAGCAGTTGTAGATAGCTAGTGACTTTGCAAGAGTATTATGAAAGATGCAATTCATGATGTAACCTTCTCTGCACTGCATATAGGGGCTTCAAGTTTGAGTCTTTCATGGAATATGTAGAGAAAAAATTAAAATGCTTTAGTATCTTTTAAAATACATATATGTATATTTTTAAAGGTACATCAAGGAGTAATGCACCATTTGGTGTGTGTTTCATTTTTATTTTAGGTAGGAGAAGTAATCACAGGTGGTCAGCAAGCATTCAAATCTATGAAAACTACGTCGGACAAGAGCAGAGAACAGACAAACGCAAGGTACTACCCTCCCGGTCTGTCCTTAGCTGTATTATATTGTTCTCTTCATTTTCATTTGTTGGTTGGAATGCAGCTTCCAAAATTATACAATTATTTAAAGTTTTGAGATGATTCATACCATGAACGTTAACGTTTGTTTCCCAAACCATAGACTCTTGCTTTGTAGGTCTCCCGATTCCTAAAAAACAGACCTGTGTGTATACAGGTCCCAGTGTCTTGTCATAATATGCCTCGACTGGTAATGTCTGCACCAGTGACGGGCTAACACTTACCAAGTGCTTGCTTCATGTCAGGTGCTACTCTGTGTGCTTTACTCATATTAACACATTGAATTCTCATCATTCTTATGCCCAGTTTACAGTTAGGGAAACTGAGGGAGGGAGAAATGTAGAATATACTGAAGGCCGTGTAGCCGTGACATGCTGGGACAATCCTACTGGTAGTGTTGCTGTCACTGCCTCCCTTTTATGATCTGTGTGTCACTCCACAGACTCCTCAATTCCCAGGGGTACAAGGGCCCCTCCTGTCAATCTCCTGACTATTGGTCATTTTCTGGCCTTTGCTTAAATTCCTTTCCCAACAGGACCCTCACCATCTCAAGAGAGTATTCATTTCATTCCTGGTATCCTCTACTGCTAGACAGCCTCTCTCTGTCTCTCTTTGATTCCTAAGTGAAGGTCCAGGCTCTGCTTCCTGGAGACCCTCAGAACCATGTTAGTCTCCCTTAAGCAGTGACATCCCTTTAAGTAATTTGTGCAAAGCTTTCTCCTTTCTCTGTTCTTCTCTAGAATGAGATCCCAGTTCTTCCAACTGTCCTGCTTCTTATGATTTTCAGACTCTTAACATCCAGATGGTAAAATCTATTTTGAAGTAAAGCAAGCTATCTTTGTGATACAAATGTATATGCTAGAATTACCACCATAAAAATACCTGAACAAGAGCTATATTTATGTGTTGCATAATAAAGCAGTCAGGCATTGGTATATTCAAAGACAACTGCTGAAGTTTTGTAGAGATTTTTAAACATGGGGTGTGTTTGAACAACAGGTATGCAATTGAATTCCTACTGAAAAGTGGGTTGCTGTTTTTAACCTTGGAAATCCACTCTATTTCCCAACTCAGTGATTTCCATTGCACATACAAGATTCACGGGTATTATGACTATTATGAATATTCACAGCCATAATTAACCCCCAGCAGCATCAACACATGGAAAGAGTCTGAATCTAATTTGTGAGGAATCAGCAATGGAAAGCCAAATCATTGCAAACAGTTCGGAGCCGGTTTTCAGACCCCAGGAAAACTATCATTACTGTGATTACACTTGAGGGTTCAAGATGTCTTAGCATGATTCGTCGTAATAGTCCCTTCTGTGGTATTTTTGCAAAGCCTTTCTTTTTCTTTTTGATTGCTGAGAAATGATCATCCCACAATCACATACAAAATGCCTGTGTGAAGGTAGTTTGTGGTGCTCTTAATCACTGGCAGACTCCATTGTGCGTGTTATCTCAGCCTCAGGCTGGGCAACCCCATTAACCAAGCAGATGCCCACTGAAGCTGCTCATGGGAACTGAGGTCAAGCAGGATTATTGGTTTTAGGCAAAGGACCGTAGATGCATCCGGCCACTGGGAGGGCCACAAGAGGCCCTTGACCCTCTCTTGGCAGAGTGTTTTTTCCCTCATGCTGGGGAGAAAGTGAATGGAGAGGGAAGAGCAACTGGGGTAGGGTTTTATTCATCAGCACCGGAAGGTAACAATCAGTGACCTCTTGTGGTCCCATAACACCATAGAATGAAGGAAGAAGCACAAATTCCTCCAAATGAAGCGATTTATTGAGTGGTGACTCTGCTACATGATGCCATGTATTATCTTTCATCTTCAAGAATAACCCTGCAGGTAAATACTATTATTTCTAATTTACCAAGATTGAGAGGCAGCATTTGTGCAAGATCTCAGTCGGTAACTGGTAGAACCAGTTAGAAAACTTCAGTCTTACCTGCTTAATCTCTTCCTGGTATCTTTTAATAAACAGAAGATCTTGATTTTAATATAATCAAAATTGTTAAACTTTTGTGAGGTTAATTATTTTATTTTTGTTCTGTTCTAGAAATTCTATCCTGCCTTGAGGTCATAAAGGTGGCCCTGCCCTGAGGTCATAAAGGTGGCCCTGTCCTGAGGTCATAAAGGTGGCCCTGTCCTGAGGTCATAAAGGTGGCCCTGTCCTGAGGTCATAAAGGTGGCCCTGTCCTGAGGTCATAAATGTAGCCCTGTCCTGAGGTCATAAAGGTGGCCCTGCCCTGAGGTCATAAAGGTGGCCCTGTCCTGAGATCATAAAGGTGGCCCTGCCCTGAGGTCATAAAGGTGGCCCTGCCCTGAGATCATAAAGGTGGCCCTGCCCTGAGGTCATAAAGGTGGCCCTGTCCTGAGGTCATAAATGTAGCCCTGTCCTGAGATCATAAATGTAGCCCTGTCCTGAGGTCATAAAGGTAGCCCTATCCTGAGGTCATAAATGTAGCCCTGTCCTGAGGTCATAAAGGTGGCCCTGCCCTGAGGTCATAAAGGTGGCCCTGCCCTGAGATCATAAAGGTGGCCCTGCCCTGAGGTCATAAAGGTAGCCCTATCCTGAGGTCATAAATGTAGCCCTGTCCTGAGGTCATACAGGTGGCCCTGCCCTGAGGTCATAAAGGTGGCCCTGCCCTGAGATCATAAAGGTGGCCCTGCCCTGAGGTCATAAAGGTAGCCCTATCCTGAGGTCATAAATGTAGCCCTGTATTTTGTAAGGTTTTATACTTCCGCCTTTCACATTTAGATATAATTTGATGAAACCTCTAATCCATCAGGAATTAGTTTTGTTTAAAGTATGAACTTTAATTTTTCCCAGTGCGGGCACCCTGCTGCCCCTGTGTCTCTTATTAAAATGGTTATCCTGTCTACATTAGTCACCAAGGCCACTTCTGTCACAGACCAGGTGTCCACATCTGTATGGGTTTTTCTCTGTTCTGCTCTACTTACTTAATTTCCATAGTCTTATCATGAGCTTTATAAGTGGTAGAAAATGTCCTCTCACCTTTTTCTTGAAGAGTCAGTTGGCTATTTTATCCCTTTGCACTTGCATGTATATTTCGGAATCAACTGGGTGAGTTTTACTCACACAAAAACACACACACAGCTGTGTATTGGGATTTTCTTTGAATTGTATTGGCCGTCTAGATCAATTTAGGGAGAACAATTCGTATAGTATTAGTGTCTCTCTGTCTTTTCTTTCATCTTATTTGATATCTCTTTGTAACTTTTCCATAAGTACACCCATGTGTTAATTTTTAGGTGTGTGATATTTTGATGCTATCATAACTGTATTATTTATTTCTTCTCTGTTGCTGGTATATAGATTGCAATTTGCTTTTTCATTGTGGTAAAATACACATTACCTCAAATTGACCATTGTAACCATTTAACAGTGTACAATTCAGTGGCATTTAGTATATTTACAATATCATGTGACTGTCACCACGATGTAATCCACTTTTATGTTTGATTTTGTACCCAGCAACTTCACTCACCTCACTTATTATTTTATTAATTAATCTGTGGGTTCTTTTAGATTTTCTATATGCCTGCAAAGAATGATAGCTTACTTGCTTGCCTCTGACTGATCCTTATCTCTTTTATTTCCTCTTCATGCCTTACTGCACAGGGAAGGGCTCCAGGATAGCATTGAATAGAGGAGTGATGGCAGCATCTTCGTTGTATTGCTAAGTCCAGAGGGAAGCTTTCCATCTTTTACTAGAAAGTCTGAGATATGTTATTTAAACATAGTAATTGTAGTGGTTTTATAGTTCATATTTTCCTATTCCAATATCTGAAGTTTTTATGTTTCTATTTCTGTTCCTGTTAATTCTGTTGGTTCTCATGAAAAGTACCTTTTTTTTTACTTGAATAGGTGATTTTTTTTGTTCGTTTATTTGTTTTTTTGAGACAGAGTTTTGCCTTTGTCACCCAGGCTGGAATGCAGTGGCATGATCTTGGCTCACTGTAACCTCTGCCTCTGGATTCAAGCAATTCTTGTGCCTCAGTCTCCTGAATAACTAGGACTATAGGCACTTGCCACCACACCCAGCTAATTTTTTTGTATTTTTAGTAAAGACAGGGTTTTACCATGTTGGCCAGGCTGGTCTCGAACTCGTGGCCTCAAGTAATTCACCCGCCTCAGCCTCCCAAAGTGTAGAGGTTATAGGCCTGAGCCACTATGTCTGGCCTAGTGAGCTACTGCATATAGAACAGTTTTCTGAGTGACCTTGGACCAACCCGTTTCCCTCACTTTCTTACTTGGAGTTCACAAGAATAACTGTAGAATGTTCTGGGAATACAACATCTTGAGATAAGAGGGAGCTGGCTGAAATAGCCTCAGTTCTGTTTCAGCCACCTTCCCCACTCCGGAAACAGATGTCCTTCAGTGCTATAGCCCAGTGATCATGTGACCCAGGGGTATACAATCCAGGACGGGCTGCTTCCTGGGGTCCCTCTGCTGTCGTGCAAGTGAGGCATGTGCAGAAGAGACTCCATCTACTTCCCAGGCAGTTTTCCTGAGCCTTGGGGTGCAGCTCCCAATGCACCTATGGTTTCTGTTGTCCTTTGCTGCCTGTCTATAAGTCATAAATCTGATTCACGTAGCCTGTCGTGTGTGGGGGTGTTCTGTTTTACTGGACTCAGGCAAGTTGGTAACCAGTTCACAGGGAACTTGTTTCACACCCCACTGCCTAGGAAAATAGTCTGGTGGTTCCTTAGAGGCCTGGGAGGTACTTGGCCAGGGAACACTGGCATGTGCTGCAGAGAAAAAACTCTGCCAATTTGGAACCACTTTCGTCTAAATTCAAGACTGAGGATTTTTAACCAACAGCTGCTGTAAACTTTCTAGTTTGTGGTGACAACTCAGTTTTCCTCTGCCCCACTGAAGCAGCTTTCCTCAAATGCCTTGGGGAGGTGAGCAGTGGGCATTTACT